AACTCGGAGGCAGCAGAGAGGAGGTGAACAAAGAGCTCCCTCCCTGCACTGCAGCTTGGATCGGATCCAAAACATTCCAGGCGGGAGGCAGAGAGGAGGGATGCAGACAAGGGAGCTTTAGAACAGACCCAGTTATTAGCTGTTGCTTTCACTGGCACAACACGCAGACACAAAGCTGTGATTTCAGCCCAGCCGGGCTTTATGAAATGCCCTTTGGACATCTCCTTCCAGCAGAGCACAGGCAGCTGTCACACGTTCCTCTGGGTCATCCAGACCTTCACAGGGAGACCTGCCCAAGCCTGTTTATTGTGGCAGCACAGATCTGAAAGCTGAATCCCATGTTTCTACCAAGTTAAAATATGCTTTGGACAAACAGGAAGACAAAGGAGTATCACTAATTTTCCTCTTTTTACTACCAATCTATTAGTTTCTCTTAAAATTCGTTTTTCTTCTTTCAGCTCCCAAAGTTGGTTGCTTYTTAAAAACTTTGTTTAGTGACGGTATTTTTAGCATGAGGCTATAAAAACAAAACGGAGGCAGTTGTCTTTTTTTGGTAATCTCATAATATCCCAGTCAATCTCACAGWACTTTGAGTTATGACTCACTATTTGTGTAAMCCTCCAGGCTGRCAGCACRGGGACAAGCAGTGACATGCCACTGCTCTGTTTGTCTCGTGGGTGGAACTTCAGCCAAGCCYGGGCCTTATTGCACTGGGGAGACAACATTTACCTCCTCAATTGTAAATAGGTAAATATAATTATGCTGTGTCATTCAAAATGAGAGGCAGGTGTGAGTAATGTTATGAGATAGGAATATATATATATATTTATTTCTTTTTTTCCCTGTGGCAAACAGCCCTATTTTTGTCTGAACAAAGAACAGTAACTGGACTTGCCACACACCCTGTGATGGCCTAACTGGCTGTCCCAGGCTAAACCTGGTAGCTAAAGATAAACAGATTGCCTCATTCCACATTGCTCATGTAAAAGTGATACATCGTTGCTAGGACATTAGCCTGCATCAAAACCAGACCCAGCTTGTGTTCCAGAATGTACAGATTCCTTGGAAACATTTCCCTGACCCCAGATTCTTCTCTCCTGAAAGTAGGTTGCTCTGTACTATTGCCCAGTGACCCACTTTTGAAAAGAAATGCGTGTTCCCAACTGCAGGCCCCATGCCCTGGCAAAGGCTGGAGCCACCTGTGCAGTCAGAACAGTCACAAGATACAGATTTCTGGGCTTTTCAGCTTTGMWTTTATTTATATACAGTCCAGAGTCAGCTGCTCGATGGTTTTTATTCACCAAGAGCTACCAGAGGGAGAGGGGAATGTTTGTTAAATGTATGTGCTTTGTGCAGGCAGAAAAGTTAACACACCATAGGATTTAGCTGTATTTAGGAAAAAGACAAGGGAGGAGTCCTGTGTTTTCTAGTTTACATAGAAAAAAAATTACAGAAATTACTCCTTCTTCATCTACAGGGATATTAAAAGAGAGAAATGTACACCCTAAAATCCTTAATACGAGTGTGATGTGCTCAAACACTGCCCAGGCTTTACATGAATCTCCAGCTTTACAGATTGGTAAATACCAATGTTACTCATGGCCCTTCCTSTGGGAGCAGTGCCTGGGATGTGCAGCAAACACGAGGCAGCCTTAGAGCAAACCTTCAGCCACCCTGGCACCAGCAAACAAAACCCGTGCTGGAAACACTGAGCAGAACTGGCAGCACAAAGCGAACAAATGGGATATTGCCCAACTCTGCCTTTTGTCCTAAATTTGTGTGGCCAAATAATATTTCCAAGGTTGGCTATTGCCATGGAGCTTTCTGAAYTTTCCAGTTACTATTTTTCCGTCTTCCTGTTTCTACATGGTGAGCAATTATTGTTAGGATGATTTATTTCTATTTTACTGTAAACCAGGAGGTGCTTGAAACCCTTTTAGAAGAAAAGAAAGAGAAAGGGTTTTGTTGCTGGCTTGTTTTTTTTTTTTTTTTTTTTTTTTTTTTTTTTTTTTTTTTTGTGATTTTGTATTTTTGTCTGGGTTTGAGGTTTTTTTAGGGGGAAATAGAGCAGCTCTGTACTGAGTCTTTCCAGTCACACACGTGCTGATGCTTTGTGAGAGGAGGATTTAACAAGGTCACCTGGCTTCGCTGAAAGAACAGCAGATAAAGCTGCAAAAAAACCCACATAAAAACCATCCTGGATTTTGTGCAATCCAGTTTTAATATGATATGAGTTAAGAGCCAGTCTGAAATGTCTAASGAAGCTTAATTAACCTGAGGCACATTTCCACATCAGTTCACAGAAGGTAGCTGCCCCATAAGCGATCAAAGCTTCCTGTTCTGGAGGCGAGTAAACAACCATTTGAATTTCAAATGTCAGCATTTCATCACAGGCCTTGTTTTGCAGCCTCACATTAGAGAATTAACTCGTCAGCCAGCTCCAACCAGTTCCACGGGCAGCTCGGAACTGGGCCGCGTGACTGGGGTGGCTCGTGTGACACACCAGCAGCCTGAATTAATGCTGTTTTCCTCAACTTAGCTAACTCAGTTCTGCTTTTCTCAGCTTTTCAGGCCAGGAGCAGCCCTACAGCCTGTTCCAGGCTTTGCCATGAAACCTCAGCCATTCTGGGTGAAGGGGCCGTCAGAAGCCCAGTGAATCATAAAACCAAGGGTCACCCCCCTTTTTGGGGGCACTTCTTCCCCAGTTGGTGCCAGGCTCTTCCCTCAGCATTGCTGGGGTTCAGACAGGGGCTGGAGAAGCTCTGTCCTCCATCCTAACCCCCCCACAATCCCTGTCCCTGTCTGGAGGAAGGGGCTGGTCAGAGGCCCAGCGGGTCATAAAACACTAACACCAAGGGTCACCCCCTTTTTTGGGGGCACTTCTTCCCCAGTTCATGCCAGGCTCTTCCCTCAGCATTGCTGGGGTTCAGACAGGGGCTGGAGAAGCCCTGTCCCCGTCCTCCATCCCAACCCCCCCATAATCCTGTCCCTGTCTGGGGGAAGGGGCTGGTCATAAAACACTAGCACCAAGGGTCACCCCCCTTTTTGGGGGCACTTCTTCCCCAGTTGGTGCCAGGCTCTTCCCTCAGCACTGCTGGGGTTCAGGCAGGAGCTGGAGAAGCCCTGTCCTCCATCCCACCCCCCCATAATCCTGTCCCTGTCTGGGGGAAGGGGCTGGTCAGAGGCCCAGTGGGTCATAAAACACCAGCACCAAGGGTCACCCCACTTTTTTTGGGGGCACTTCTTCCCCAGTTGGTGCCAGGCTCTTCCTTCAGCACTGCTGGGGTTCAGACAGGAGCTGGAGAAGCCCTGTCCCTGTCCTCCATCCCAACCCCCCCATAATCCCTGTTCCTGTCTGGAGGAAGGGGCTGGTCAGAGGCCCAGTGGTCAGAAAACACTAACACCAAGGGTCACCCCCCTTTTTGGGGGGCACTTCTTGCCCAGTTCGTGCCAGGCTCTTCCCTCAGCACTGCTGGGGTTCAGACAGGGGCTGAAGAAGCCCTGTCCCTGTCCTCCATCCCACCCCCCCACAATTCCTGTCCCTGTCTGGAGGAAGGGGCTGGTCATAAAACACTAGCACCAAGGGTCACCCCACTTTTTTGGGGGCACTTCTTCCCCAGTTGGTGCCAGGCTCTTCCCTCAGCACTGCTGGGGTTCAGACAGGGGCTGGAGAAGCTCTGTCCCTGTCCTCCATCCCCATAATCCCGTCCCTGTCCCCTCACGGCCCCGCTCCCCCTCCCCCTCCCAAATCTGCCCCGCCGGGCGGTTCCCCCCAGCAACAGCGTGACCTCACCGCGGACCAATCAGCGCCGAGCAGCSCCGAACCTTCCAGAGCTTTCCCTGCCCCGGCCGCCCCCGCCCTTCGCTAACTGCCCCTCCG